CGGTGGCGACCATCATCCGTGTCAGGGTCTCAACCTCCGGCTGTCAGACTGGCGTTTTATCGACCCCGCTGCGATCGGCGTTAGAGACGCGTCGCTGACTGGTCTCGCAGTCTGGCACCAGCGCACGTTAGACCGTTTGTACTTAACGCGGTCAGACCGCCCTCTGGTCCGGAGGCGACGGCCGTGACACGCCGCTCGTGATCTCTGATGGCTGCGACCGTTGTAAGCACGCCAGCGACGTCACAAACAGCGTGCTCAGGCCTGCAATGACTGATGCGACCGGTGCTGCAGGAACCAAGGACCTGGCTGAGTGTGTGTCGGGGGCGGTGCACGTGCAGGAGTGCGTGCCGGAGCGGCTGGAGCTGAAGCAGCAGGTCTTCGAGCAGCTGGATCAGCTTACAGATGGCAGTACGGTGCTCAGCTCTTCCACCTCGTGCCTGGCGCCCTCCAAGTTCACGCAGACGCTGCAGCACCGCAGCAGCTGTCTGGTGGCCCACCCGGTCAGTCGGGGTGGGTGCGCTTACATGCGCCCGCGACTGGGGTACAGTGACCGCCGACGGCCTCCCCGCGCGGGACGGCACGGAGCCGACTGGTGAATGGGTTGCACCTCAGCCTGCGCAGCTCGGCATATGCAGATGAGCTGCGTTAGCAACGACGCATTTCAGTGTCGGTTACTGCTCCATACAGCTCTGACGAGTTCCAGTCATTGCAATAAACACAGTCGTTACTGAGGTCGGTTGAGTACGAAATCACGCACTGCTGCGTTTATGGCGCGGCGAGGTTGATGAGTTATGTCAACAAACTGCACGTCCGTCGCATGTGGCCTGCCGCCAATCTTAAGCACACGCCCGGGTGAGGGTCGATTAGACCACAACCTACACGAAGGTTTTACATGATTATTTTCGTACAGCGTAGCGTAGCCGCGCAGAACTTTGCATAGCTATAAGAAATGGAATGCCCGGTTTTTTGTATGAAAAATTGGGCGCGCCTTGTGAGGTAGCTGACCTATGGCGGGCCAAAATCAGGCTGGATCTGTCAGCGAAGGCCCCGAACTTATTACGTCCCTGCTTTGGATCTGACGGTCCTCTGTCTTTTGATCTTACGGAATTGTCGTGCTATTGTGGTTCATACAGACCGGAGAATTGGACATCCTGGAATTGCTATACACTATGCTACCACATATTCATGTCATATGCCTTCCGCGACTCTGGATTAACCAGCCTGAAGGCCTGACCTGGGGCATAAAGTTTTTGGTAGCAGGGCACATTGATGCGTTATAAGTGGCCGCATGGCTTTTGGAGCAACATTAGGGTGGCGAAAGAAATTTTACCGCGTTGTGGAATGTAAGAGGTTAAGTTAGGCCGAGTGCCGACAGCTTTTGGCCGGGAGGTACAGACGTCTCCCCACTGGTGACATGTGACCCGCCCTATTACACATCTCTGGTAGAGCTGGTGTCGACGGCATCTGACCCGACTTTGGTGGTGCTTCCCCCAGGTGAACCCACCCTTTTACGTGCCTCTGGTGGAGCTGGTGCCGGCGCCCTGGACTGACCCGGAGGTGGTGAGGCGCACACGAGAGCTGATGCTTGAGATCGGTCAAGACCCCGTCACACTCGGCAAGGAGATGCCGGGCTTTGCCCTCAACCGGATCCAGTAAGAGCGGCATCAACAGGATCAAGCAGAGCGCTTCCGCAGACTATTCGGATTTCGAGCTCCTGCGCAACCTCAGACGAATTGCTTTTATATAAAATTGGACCACATACCTCCACTAGATGTCATATTTTTTATTTCGACTGTTCGAACACTCAACTAACTAATAGGATGCCGAAGAATATGAGAGTATCCAAATCAAGTCTTTAAATAGTCGGCAGCATGCCAACACTCGTCGAAAAAACTGCTATTGGTGAATGCAATCAGTGCCAGTTTTGAACCCAATGGTGAAATGACACCAGGACCGAACTGCCCCGTAGTGTTTGTAAACCTCGGGCAAAAGGGACTCTCGCACGGCCCATCACGAAAAAGCAAACATACTGCAACCAGGAGCGCAGTCAAACCCCCGGCAAAGAGGGGGGGGGGGGGCACAGGACTGACAAAAGGGCATGAGAGTTAATGCACTCATTCCCCTAAACAAAAATTAGGTAGCTGTATATGGTCCGTTTGTCAATGAGGGCACGCTTTTCTTTGCCATTTTTTCATGTTTGCCATGTTTGTGTGATAGCGGCCAGAAGCTACCGCGTGATGATTTTGCCTGAATTTTATAGCTATTAAACTGACAACATCACGCGTTCAACGACTGTATGAAATAAATCGTCGGTGCTAGTTATGTTACTTTGGTCCAGTGAACTTCTTCAGAAGCTGTTTCCAAAATTTTTGTCTGGGCTCTACAGTGATATGAAGGGCCCAGTAAATATAAAACGTAGATAGAGATCTGTCAACCAGATGTGTTAACATGGCCAGATTGGGAAGCGGGCCCTCAGGCACGTACCGGCAAGGAGCCGACTGTGCGGTACAAGTAGTACCTGACCAACGTAAAGGCCCATATCATCTCCGCGGGTTCGCGAAAGGCGCAAAAGGCCCTCTGACTATAATTTGAGAGCCAGTCCCCGCAAGCCGAGGCCCCTGAATAAGACTACGACCAGCCCTTCGTGCCCTTAAGGTCTCCAATCGTGCCCTTAAACGTCGGTCCCGTTGGGCCCTCCGGGCTCTTCGGGCTTCCTTAAACACTGCTTCTGGCTGACTCGGGGCCCCTCGCCAACACAGGGCCTCCTGGAAGGCGCTGTGGGGCCCTGACAGACACTGGGCTCCGACCAATGTAAATAGCTGGCTTTGGTTTTGTCCCTGCTTGGGAAATGGGCTCTCGGGCCCATGTCGCCACGGAGTCGACTGTACGTCATCGATGGTGTGCTTAGCTGTTTGAAATGCATTAAAGGCATTGGAGTGCTCGACTCCGCGGGCCGGGTCAGTATTTTGGGCGACGACCTCCGGTCAGTATTTTGGGCCCGTCTGGCCTTCAAATTGGACCCTTAATCATAGTTCCCGAACGGCCCTTTGGGCCGAGTGACCCTTCGGGCTGAGGGACCCTTTGGACGCCTCGGAACCTAGGGGAGCACGTGGCTTTCGCACCCCTACTCCTACCGCACTGCTGTCTGCACTACTGAGCAAAACCGCTCTATGGCATGCCTGTACCAAAAGTTATTAAACGCATTCGTGTTAGAACCCGGAGTGGCCCAAGGGCTTTTTAACAGCTCCAATGGACTATGATGAGTTGTTGGGTGAAAATTGGTGCATTCTGTCAAAGTGATACAAAATTAATGTTGTTGATGATCTTTTGCAAGCGTTCTGGACATGAACTCACTCAATCTCGAAATACGGTCACAGTCGTACCATCTGCTTCATGCTGCCTGCAATTACCGGTAGCCGAATTTTAGTGACACCTTAAATTCTAGCACAAGATTTCTTTTGGTGAAATGACAGTGTTACATTTAGGTTAAGATCATGGATTTTTTTCCGACCCGTTCTTTGTTATCTTGCGACAGAGTAACGAAGAGCGCCGATATTTCATCGTCGTTGACCAAGGCGCCACCTGCCGTCGTGATTAGTGCGTCCTCTGCCGGCGCAGGTACGCCATCCTGAACGAGTGCTGGCGTCTGATAGCCGACGGCGTGTTAGATGTACAAGACATGGACACGGTGATGAAGAGTGGCCTGGGGCCGCGCTACGCCTTCATGGGACCACTGGAGACAGCCCACCTCAACGCTGAAGGTGACGGACGCCCTGGACGAGCTGCACCGAGCCCGCGCTCTGGGAGGAGTCGGGAGCACTCTCTCTGAGCTCCGATGCTCTGCCATACTGTGTGGTTACAGTCAGCTTCTGGCGACGTGTCGCCCTGTGCCTGCCGCTGCAAGTGAGACCTGTTGTGCACTAACGTGGCGACGGCTAGGACCTCTAGGGCGCGTCAACTTCTGGTGATGTGCCGCCCTGTGCGTGCCGCTGCGAGTGAGGCCTGTTGTACACTAACGTGGCGACGGCTAGGACCTCTAGGGCGTGTGTGTTACCCGTGAGGTGGGGCTGATTTATCGTTCGCGTCCCTGCAGGCATGGCCAACTACTGCGATCGCTACGCCAAAGGGATCTTCTCGGTGTCGGAGACGTTTGGTCCGGTGCCGAGGATGGAAGGGAAGCTGGCGGAGGAGATGCACACCCAGATGACCCGAATTGTGCCACTGGAGAAGCTGCAGGTCTGTAGCGCACGCTGCAGGAGCGAGTACTGGTGCAGGCAGTGGTGGTGGTGCAACTGGAAAGGCTGCAGGTCTGGCGTGCGCTGGTGGAGTGAATGATATAGGGCAGCAGTCGCATTGTATCGCAATGGCTGCAGCTCTGTGCCCGCACTGGAGATGATTGTTTTGGGGCTGGTTTTTGAGGTCCTTTGTCTGGATGGACGAACATGACATGGTTACGGACTTCATGTGTTGACCCGGGTCTCCGTGGACGCGGACCACGTTGGCACGTGTTCCTTGACGCTGTTTCAGGAGCGCCGAGCCTGGAGAGATGCCCGCCTGGCAGCCCTGGCCAGGCTGAAGAAGGACATGGACAGTGGCAAGTAAACGACCGCTCTCCCTCTGAGTCCCGCACATGCCTCTGTCGACCGAGCTCGACTCGCCGCCAACAGTGGACACCAACGCTGACCCGCTACCTCTGCTCATCAGTCTGAAACAGACTGTATTACTTGGGACCCATCGTGCTCCAGACATGTGTGCATTCATTTGTTGGTTCCAACTGCTCTTATTCGTGGCCAGCTGTCTGTAACCCGTGCCAGACTAAGCCAGGCCAGTAAACCGCTGAGCAGTCCCACATGTATGTTAGGCATATGTACCACCCCGGGACAAACGCCAACTGATGGGCCGAATATGATACGGGAGTTGAGTGAAACCAGTGATGGACCGAGCACAGCCGTGGTTGGATGTGTTTTGCGGCGAAACCTGCATACAATGCATGCAAGCGATTCTGTGTGTTGTTTACGGAAGCTCGAATAGGCTGGGACTGAATTCACATGCTATTTTTGCAGACGTGGCTCAGTGTGTTCACATTAAACATCGATGCCATACTTACGATGTAGCTTAACCTGTTAGAGAGCCTGCATCCCATCTCACCCGTGAAGGAGTGACGGTTCAAGCAGGGAGCTAGAATCGCTTTTAAACTAGGGTGGGAGTGAAAAATTACCATCCAAAAAGACTGTGTGGTTGTGAAAAAATGAATTAAAAAAAACGGAATTTATAAGCTCGTGACGGATGCTTCAGCAAACAAAGACATTTATCTCAACTTGGCATGGACGTAATATCAGAAACCTGACAAAAACATTTTTCTTTTTAACATCTTATGCCATTAAGGCGAAACAGAATACATTAACACGCGCTCGGGTGGGGGGCAAATTGACCCCCCCTCCCGAGGGCTTTCCCGAATGGTTTTTGAACAGCGCGGCGTGGCCGCGGCACATTTTACATAGTTGTAGAAACTTGCATAGCAGATCGCTTGGCACACCAATTTTAGATGTACCTTGTAACGTCGCTGACCTATGACAGGTCAAAGTCAGCCCATGGTTTCAGCGAAGGCAATTTCTAGGAAATCGTTCAATCGGATAAACTACGGAGTGTTTGACTACGGTAGTCAGGTATGATGGTCAGACCAAGGTCAAAACCAACCTGATTTATTACTCTAGGGGTTGCTGTATGGGATAGTTGCTGGTGCTCACTTCGAATTCATTGACGGCAGGAACGGCATTATACATTTTTGGTTGACTTCTTAGAGGTCAGAACAGGCCATTGAGCTAAGAGGACGCGGGTCGAACGTTTTGTTTTAGGAACATACCGCCCAACGTAATTTTTGTCGCTTATTCAAATGAAAACGCAGAGCAGCCTTGTATCATTTTGGTCACTATGACCTTCAAAGGGTCAAACAAGGTCAATGACCTCAAATGGGCTTGTGACCTTTTGCTTAGAGACAGTTGTCTAAGTTCTGGGGTCGCTTTGGAGACCAACCCGGAATTCGACCTTAATTGACCTTATTCGAGATGAAGGTCATGACCTAGGTGGCTGGAACTCTAACCTAATAGAGTTCACGTATAGGTTAAGACACCCAGTAAATTTGGTGTCTCTAGCTTTCTTAGTTCCCGAGATCTCAGCGGGGGTTTCAAATTAACCCCCCTCCCACCCCCACGCCCGAGCGAAGGGTACGTCGCCGGCCAACCGGGCGCGTGTTAAAGTATAATGTTTTCATGACAGCATTATGAGCATGAAAAATTATTAACATCAATAATTTGATGCCGCACTTTTCAATTCCCTTCCAAAGCACTTTTAAAACAGAACAAAGCAAAGCAAAGCAAATTCAGTAACAATGCAACGACAAAAAAATTCAACAAGCGCAAAATACTCAACCAAAAAACATTGGACTCGTACACATCAGCCCAGCACCAAGTCAAACACAACAGACATACTTCTGGCTTCTGTTAAGGTGGAGTCGGGGAAAACAAACATTTTGTCACTGTTTCTTACAAAATACCAATGCTTATTTCAATGAAAGTAGCCTATTCCTAACCTAAGGAGACCTTACATCATCTCATCCTGTAAAACCTGTTTGTATCACAGCAGCAGTTATGACTTAATGATTCTTGCACAATTACTATTGCCACTTGCCATGCACTTGACCAACTTAACCTAACTAAGAGTAGCCCATATGATGAACATCATCTCAACTCACCTATCTGTTGACAGCAGCACTTGTGATAAAAACCTGATACTTAAAGCTAGTTTTTGGCTGGTTCCAACTTGCATTTTTGTTCAGTTCACTTTTGCATGCTTGTTGATATCAGACAAAGTTGACAACATGCAAATTAAAACACTTTAAATCACTGAACAACTTATTTTGATTGTCATGGTTAGCCTGTGCCACGGACAATAATGGGTGTGCTCCACAAAACAATCTCTCTTCTCCAAAAATAACATAGCCTTTAGGTGATCATGCCAGTATTGCTGCTGGCTTTTTCAGCTGCAGCAAATGCATCCATTTGGGCCGGTTTATTCATATTTAATGACGAAGTTTGAGATGTTGGCTTCACATCTTAAATGGGATGGTCTGACTATTTCTAGCATAGCAATGTTTAACTCATATTATAATTGTATGCAGCTTAGGGTATCTCTGTGTTAAAAATATAGTGCATACATACAGTACAGTCATTTGCCAGTCAGCAAACCATGACAACTATAGAAAACACCTGGTTAAAGCAGCCATGAGGGACCACTTTAAGAAATTTGGGACAAATAACCAAGAATATGTAACAAAGTAAGCCAATTGCATGCCTTGAGGCATCATAATTTGTCTTATGGCAAAACTCGATGCATTAAAACAGAAAATGGCTAACATCTCTACAGGGCAGAATTTCGCAATCAAACACTTCCATATTAGCTGCGTCATGTCTGTCCTAAGGCTCCATATGGCAGCATATTCTAATGATGCCATTCAGAGGCAGCATTAGGCAAGGCTATTTTAAGCCTTGTCAGGTAGCATGGTAAGTCAGAAACTCGAAGAGCTTGGATTTATCCTCATTGAGCACCGCCATGAACCAAGAAAACGGTTAACCGAAGGTTTAAGAGGGCAAAAATGGCGTTAAAAAGAAGTCCCGTGCTTCAAATTGTCTCCCTCATTCCCTGTGAGTTGTTCACGCTTGGGTGCCTATCAAACATGTTTGGGCGGCTGGCGAATTTATCCCATTTATCTATGAAATACGTACAAACTTGCAGTTGGAGCATCTTGCAGAGATACTGTTCAACATTTTAAGTAGCAGATGGTACCTCTAAAGGCAATCAAAAAGGAAGGAAGAATAAAGTGGTGTCACACTGGTATGATACCAAGAAATACAAAAGTAGCTAAATAAATATACAGACTGATACTTTCCCCGTAAAATTTTTGTAATCGGCTGGTTTGATTTAAAATCTGTTAATATAAGTGTTCAAATGGCGATATTCATCTCGTAAGTTTAAACTAAAAGACATTTTTTGAACTTTTCTCTCCCGCATTTCGGGGGCGATGCAATTTGGTAGTCAAGTTTCCTCGGGAAAAAATTAGTATGTTGAGTAAAATTATCTACGAGGACTTGCGGGTGTTTGCACCAGCCTCTTCTTTCGTGGTGTGGTGGTGAGATAAAAAAAATAGGGGATGCGTGAAAACCTTGCATTTGGCGCACAGCTGCAGATTGTGATGCATTTTGTAAGCAAACCAAACTTAATGTGTGCAAGCGGCTGTGGTTGCTCGGGTTATTGGGCTTGGAGGTACCTGGCGCTCTTGCTCTGTGGATACATGGACATGATTCAGATGTAGGTGAGGCAGGACATAGCCATAGGTGTCCAGGTTCAGCGGAGCCTCGTTTATGTTTGGTGGTTTCAAGTGAGCTCGGCTTTGGATGACATCTGAAAACCTCATAAAAGGAAATAGGAGTTTGGCCTGTGCAATTACACAGTGTCAGGCAGGAGTGAAAAATTCAAATAAAATATGAGGAAAAGGAGTGAAAAATTTCTCCTCATAGGGTGTTGCTTTAACCCAAAGTCGGCAAATCTAGGACACTGGGTTAAAGTTACCACAAACGATCACAGGTGTTTGCCACCGGCCGGGTTGGCCTGCGGCCGGCGGCAGCAGCCGCTCAGGTTCAGGTCAGGTCAGTGGGCGGAGCCGACTGCGCCGAGTGCTGCGGCATGGCAGAATTTTGACACCAAATTCTGCTGTTGAACCGGAATTTGCTGATCGGACAAGCACGGCTTGGTGTGAGATCCGATCCCAGAAATGTATTCACCCGAAAAGGTTTGGACTGACTTTCTGACAAATCAACTTAGAAAATATTACATGCATCCGTGAGCGTCTAGCACCATGGTTGATGTGCATTTGAACGGTTAACACGGCCAGCTTACCAGCCATCACCCCTGCTTACGTTGCAGGGGTGACGGTTTTGGCACCATAGCTGAACGCCTCACTGACCAAATGTCTCAAAAATCGTGGTTGATCGGCTGTATGCATGTTATATAATAATCTAGTCTCATACGACTCCAATATTCTTCCGTAATTTGACACCGGTTAAAAGCTATGATTTGCCCGAATGAACAGTTGTTGTTTGTTTTACTTGCATTCGTGGTTACTGGACACCACGTGGTCCTATGTACGTTGTCATTCACATTAAAACGTTTTGAACCAATGCTGGGTAAAATGCCCAGCTCCAAAAAAGAATGCGTAACGTCATAGCACCTACGCAAACCAGTGCATTGACGTCAGCCATCTGGCGTCAGCTTGCTCGGTTTATCTCCGTCCAGTAACGCCTGCTTCGACTTTGGGACGACAAAGAGACAGTATTCTCTGAATTCATGCACGGCTACTGCTCCATGGAGACCAGTGGCTGTCAAGTCCCGGATTCGCCATATCTGTGAAGTTGGCGATTTATTCGGAATTTATTTAGCGACTATTTTCGATTTCACTGACAACGTGTTGTGTTATCCATATTGACATGAAAGAATCGAAACTGACGGTTTTTTTACGATACCATGTGATTTTCAATGTCATATTCAAGGGCAAAGCATGTGGACTCCGTGCCATCCAAAAGTTCCCAAGTGATTTTAAACACTCAAGGGTCGATAATATTTACCAGAGCAGTAAATAACGTAGGTGAAAAGTTCTCGAAAATTCAAGGTCACCTTTCAAGGTTCAATTTAGGCTCAAGGGATGGGGAACTCCATACCACCAAAATAACTGGTTGATTTCAACTTTGCAAGCGAGAGAATATTCACAGCACAATAATCAGCGTCCGTCAAAATATTCTGACCTCTCTAGGTCACCCTTCCAGGTCCAGTTCAAGCTCAAGTGACAGGGAAATCCGTATCATAAAGAGTTGTTGGCGATTTTAGCCTTATCAAGCACCAGAATACTTATCAGTGCAAGACTAAGCGTTCGTAAAATGATCCCCGCCAG